TTATCTGGCTAACGACTGAACAAACACTTACGCAGCTACGCAGAGTATCAGTTTTCAATTCAGCAGCATAACTACAGCACGAGAAGGAAGATAACCCGTCAGATTTAAGCAAAACTGGCCCCAATCCCATGACTTGATGTAACCAATCATGATGCTCAACTGATGGAACCTTCAAGACAGTGAACTCCCACCCCTCCTATCTTGAAGGAGGAACCACCTGCTTCCCATTAATTTTAATTCTCTGGCCTTGGAAGATTAGTAAGGGGCACCTGTGCCTGGCAAAAACTGGTCTTTGTAATACACACAAGTTTTTACTGTTAACGTTACTGACTTTTTATTGTAGTTACTGCTGTATTTTTTTATGCGATGCAATGCCTTGTTATATTTTCTATGAAAGAAACTTCTTGGCTGCCTTTCAAGACGTCCCAGATATATTTGCAAAGCAGATGCTCTAGAAGGGTCACAGCTCAATGGTAGAGCACCTGCTTTGCACAAATAAGGTCCCAGGTTCAATCCCCAGAATCTTCAGGAAGGGCTGGGAAAGACTCTGGCCTGAAAACCTGGAGAATTGTTGCCAGTCAGCATAAACAATACTAAGTTAGATGGACTAATTCAACCAGACTCCATATAAAGAAGCTTCTTATGTTCCTGACACTGAGCTACAACCCATCCCCATGAGAATACAGAATCCTAGGCCCAATACCAATTTCTAGGCATAGGCAGCCTCCCCCAAAATCAGGCAATGCCAAAGATTGAATGCTAGTGATTCAGTGTACCTTGGGCAGGTGTTTCATGACACACATCACCACAGGTTGGATTGATGGCGCCTTGACCAAAGGAAAGCTCTTCTCCAAGAGGTCTTCCAGCTTCTTGTATCTGGAGTGTGGGACAAGAGAGGCATGCAGAACATGTTTAAGGTAAAGGGACCCCTGACCATTAGGTCCAGTCGTGACCGACTCTGGGGTTGCGGTGCTCATCTTGCTTTACTGGCCGAGGGAGCCGGAGTCCAGCTTCCGGGTCATGTGGCCAGCATGACAAAGCCGCTTCTGGCCAACCAGAGCAGCGCACGGAAACGCCGTTTACCTTCCCACCGGAGTGGTACCTATTTATCTACTTGCACTTGGACGTGCTTTTGAACTGCTAGGTTGGCAGGAGCAGGGACCGAGCAACGGGAGCTCACCCTGTCACGGGGATTAGAACCGCCGACCTTCTGACTGGCAAGTCCTAGGCTCTGTGGTTTAACCCACAGCACCACATGTTTAGCGCTACTACAAAAAGAACAGGAAGATGTCCTTCCCCACAGAAGTATTCCAAACATACCTTTCATCAACCTTTCCTTCAGAGGCGATGGATGAGACCCTCTCCAGCAGCTTCTCCCTCAGCTCATCAAACACAGACTGGTGGAACTCAAGCCTGGGGGTGCCGTGGAGGTCCAGGAATGGCAGGGCGGACTGAAGAGTGGGCAGGAGGATGCCATTTTCTGTCTGTCAATGTCATACACAAACTGTGTCAAGGTATTATGCTGCAGATCTCCTATCTCTAAAGCAAAGGGTGGGGATCTCTATCTGGCAGCACTCTGGGGATCTCTATCTGGCCCTTAGAATTCCTTACGGTGTCCCTTGGGTCCTGATGGCAAAGGGTAGGTAATAAATTATTACTATCTGACAATGCCTCTTACTTGCCTACATATTGGAGAGGGACGTTCAAATGTGTGCAGAAACTAGTCTACTGTACAAAGGTAATTTTTACAATTTTTGTCCCACTCAGTTTTGCATCTGGCCCTGCCCACCACTGGCATGTGGCCCCCAGAAGGTTGACCAGAAAGGAAAGCAGCCCTTGGATTGACAAAGTTTCCCACTCCTGCTCGAAAGAGACTTAATTGTCAAGAAGAAGAGTTTGGATTTGGATTTGATATCCCACTTTATCACTACCCGAAGGAGTCTCAAAGCGGCTCACATTCTCCTTTCCTTTCCTCCCCACTCTGTGAGGTTAGTAGGGCTGAGAGACTTCAAAGAAGTGTGACTGGCCGAAGGTCACCCAGCAGCTGCATGTGGAGGAGTGGAGACGCGAACCCGGTTGCCCAGATTACGAGTCTATCGCTCCTAACCACTACACCACACTGGCTCTCAAGGTTCACAATAGAGTTGTTTTGAGTTGTACGGCTCTTCCTGACTGGACTGCTTTCAACCGAAGATGAAGAAAACTCAGGTTTGAATGCTCTCACATGGAAGATCTCCCAGCTGCCTAGGAAAGTAGCATGTCAGGAAGTAGGGCTCTTATGATTTTCTCCTGAAATACTTTTCTGTTATCCTGGGTCTGAAGGAAACCCCCACCTCCCATCTAACAACACACCTAAAGGCCAAATGTATCATTTGACTATTGCAGTGTGTGTGTGCGCGCACGCATGTGCGTGCATGATTTTAACCCTTCCCTTCCTTGCTGTGTTCCTGATAAAATATTCCCCTTCTGAAAGTGCTATCAGAACCAGAAGGAAATTACTGGTCGGCATGAATCACCTCATCAGAGGAAGGATTTTTATTCAGAACCACTACAGGGAATGAAAGGGTTGAATTTCCCCCTGTACCCGCTGTAGTCTTGATAATTATCCTCCAGCTGCTGCTATTTACATTTTTTAAAACCCTGCAGGTTAAAAGCAAATATGAATTGAATGTCACCCCCCGTTTGGCTCTCTACATCTACAATCCATGGGACCCCAGAACACAAAATGTACGTCACAAATTGAAAGACTGCATAGAAAGACTGAAAAAGAGCACCCCAGTGAATCCCCAGTAAGGTGCTCAGAGATTCTAGATAGCAAACAGTGTACAGTGATACCTCAGGTTAAGTACTTAATTTGTTCTGGAGGTCCGTACTTAACCTGAAACTGTTCTTAACCTGAAGCACCACTTTAGCTAATGGGGCCTCTTGCTGCCGCCACGCCACCAGAGCACGATATCTGTTCTCATCCTGAAGCAAAGTTCTTAACCCAAGGTACTATTTCTGGGTTAGCGGAGTCTGTAACCTGAAGCGTAGGTAACCCGAAGTACCACTGCATCATGAAAACCGTATTTTTCCAGCACACATGGAGTGCCTGGGTTCTCCTCCACAAACAAAGGAGAGAGTGTTTATTGACTCACCGCTGCCCATTACATGAATTGTTGTGTTTCAGGGTCAAATCACAGATAATTGGTAATGAGGTGGATAAATTGATTTATAATGGCAACATGTTTCCAGACAAAACTGGCTCTTCATCAGGAAAAGTTCAACCTTTTTCATGAGTCCAACATTTGCTTCTCTGAATTAAGGCAACTCCCAATTTACGAGGGGTAAAGTTCCAGGGTACCGCATGCATATGTCAAATCGTATATAATTGAAACACCCATTGGAAAAGCCAGTAAACACCCTGGAAAAACCATTAAAAAAACCCAGCAGCACTCAACAGACAGGCAGGAATGGTGGCAATTGTGGCTCTCAGTCTCCCTCATTGCTAGAGGACAATGTGGAAACAATGACAAGGGCAGTGGACTGGTACCCCAAAGTGCTTGGGTGTAGGTCAAATGCACTTGTGGGCTGATAGTAATGCTGCTGGTGTCTTATAGAGGAACATGGTGATGAGTAGCTAACGCTTTTGCCTCCCCAGCTGGTCAAACATCTCCCTGTATGGCTGCACACTATCCGTAAATGCACACTAGATCTTTAGGCTGCATTCTACGGAGGGATCATACTGGGAGATTATGTCTTTCATGTGCTTGACCACACTGAAGAATTCTGAAAAGCTCTCCAGGGTCCAGGTGGGTTGCTCATCCTGCTTACATCCCCTTCCTATTCCCCACTTTCTGAGCTTGAACTGGACCTGTTGCGATTCTGAGCACAATGACCAAGAAGTAAGTTTAACCAGTCAATGGATCTTACATGTGAATAAACATACAGTGGTACCTCGGGTTACATACACTTCAGGTTACAGATGCTTCAGGTTACAGACTCCGCTAACCCAGAAATAGTACCTCAGGTTAAGAACTTTGCTTCAGGACAAGAACAGAAATTGTGCTCCGGCGGTGTGGCATCAGCGGGAGGCCCCATTAGCTAAAGAGGTGCTTCAGGTTAAGAACAGTTTCAGGTTAAGAACGGACCTCCAGAACGAATTAAGTATTTAACCCGAGGTACCACTGTACTCTGCTCTGCATTGCTACAGAGAGAGGGGCTTTATGAACTAAAGTGGCACAGCAGATGTTCTGAATGCAGAAGGTTGCAGAATGATGTGTAACAACAAGCGATGAGAAGCCTTCAAAGAGCTGCACCCACCCGTAAGGCAAGATGAGGCAACTGCCTCATGTAGCAGAATCCACTGGGGAAGCAGATCTCATTGTAGATATTTATCCCCACCCGCCTCCACGTTTCCCTGGTGGGCAGGAGAAGCACTATTTTGCAGTTTTCCTCAGGTACCAAAAGGTCTTGCACCAACCAGGATATGCTGTACTGAGTTAGATACCCTTGCAGGACGATCCTGCGCACGTCTACTGAGTTTAGCGGGACCTGTTCCTAGGTAAGTGTGCCTTGAATTGCACCCCAAAGCAATTTTTGCATACTGGGTGTTTGTTTTGTTTTGTATGCGGTTTGCATTTAAAAACAACAACCACCGGGCATGGCCATACGGCCGTTTCCTACGCGAAAGCGTGATTGCACTCTGCACATGCTCCGAGAGGCAGCTTTCTTTCTTTTCTATACGAGGCTCGCGCGGGAACACAAAGATGCAACCACACCATCTCTAGCCGGTGCCTCAAAGGTTAAGCCTCCAGGGCCACGGGAGGGAGGGAGGCCCACGCACCTGGAACTGCTCGATGGCCTTCAGCGGCTCCGTGCAGTTGGTCAGCGTCTCTTTCAAGTCTTCCCCGTTAGCCACTCCGAGGTCCTGCAGCCCGGCAAACATGGCGCAGCACCCTCCTCCTTGACTGGGGTCCGCCCGCCCCCTTATGCATAGGTCTCACATCGCAACCGGCCCCCCAGAGCGCCGCGGAGCACTCCCGTAAGGCGTCCTCCCGCAAACCGTTCCTGTAGCGCAAAGGGTTCCGCTCTGGTCGCAGGCTGAAGGTAGGTCTCTCCACGCATCCCTCCAAACTTTGCGAAGGGGACTGCGGCAAGGTCTTGAGAAGGGCTCGCTCTTATAACCACCACAACGGTACCGGTGCTTTTCACTGCCAGTAATTCTTCCGTTGCTCCTTCTGTATATGCTGCCCATCTAACCCACGTTATCTGGAATGCTTCCAGAAACAAACACAATTCGGAATAAAACCTTGAAAATTCAACCTTCGTCTGATCTCAAACGCGCAGCCTTATTAATGTGGATTTTCATGAGCCGCCTAAAGAGTAGGATGGCGGTGTTTTGTTGGCGTGAGATACACACGCTTCCTGTGGCTGGTGGGTGCATCAGAAATACAGCCTTAAAATACAACCGTCATATTTTTTCAAACACGCAACCTTAAATGTGGATTTTCATGAGGTGCCTAAGAAGTAGAATGGCAATGACTAGCTCCCTTGGTTAGAGCGTGGTGCTGATAATGCCAAGGTTGCAGGTTCGATCCCTGCATGGGACAGCTGCCTATTCCTGCATTGCAGTGAGTTGGACTAGTGTTTCCCACACTAGATGATCCTCAGAGTCCCTTCCAACTCTACAGTTCTATGATGAATGTTTCATATGTGTGTCTTCTGTGAGACACACACACTTCTTGTGACTGGTGTGTGGAATCACAGTGGTGGTGGTGAGGCAAGTAATGAATTGTAGGTGGTGCTATGTATGATTTTGTTAATGGTATAATGTAGTTATATATTTTTAATGTGTTGCAAGTTGCTTGGAGACTTTTGAGTAACAAGGGAAAGAACTAACAAGCGACAATGAAAGTAACTAGTTATGTAAATGTTTACATCTTGCATATATAGGAAGTCTGGCAATGTGTTCGCATTATTTACCGTATTTATCCTACAAAACTTATACATATCTTGACTGTAGTAAAACCCCAAAGCGGTTTACAAGAAGAACAACCATATAAATTATTTAAAATATTAATATTAAATATTATTTAATATTTTAAATATTAACATTAAAATACAAAACAAGAACAGAAAACACGTGAATGTTTTTGCCTGGTGTATAAAAACATGCAGTGAAGGTGCCAGGCAAACGTCACTGGGGAGAGAATTCCATAAATGGGGAGCCACTGCAGAAAAGGCCCATTCTCATATTGCCACCCTCCGGACTTCTTCTGGGGAGGGCACACAAGGTCAGGCCTCAGATGGCGATCAAATAACAGTTAAACTAATTATTTGAAACTTACAATGCTTAATATGGAAACAATCTTTTAATAAAAAATAAAATTAAAAACAATGGAAGGAGGGACGGATTTCAGAAGGGGTTTGAATATAGCAGATTGTCAGATGTCACTATGCTACACAGCAAAAGCAATCTCCCTCACACCATTTCCAGGCATTCTCAATACAGTCAGGGCTTTTTTTCAGCCGGAACTCACTCAGTTCCGGCACCTCTCAGGTGGGTGCCATTGCTATTCTAAGAGAAGGTAGGAGGCGTTCATGGTGAGTTCCGGCACCTCATTTTCTAGAAAAATGGCACTGTATACAGCATTGTTCTATTTTGACTTGCTATTGGTGACGATATTTTTAATGTAATTTTTGTGGGTTTCCCACCATGCTGAGCAATCCTAGCCAGACAGGCATATGCCCTGTGTCAGTTAAGCAGTATCCCAATTGCTCCTGGCTGGGGCAGCATAGATATTTCTTAATCGTAGAATTGGAAGGGACTGTAAGGGTCATCTAGTCCAACCCACTGCATTGCAGGAATCTTTTGCGCAACATGGGGTTAGAACCCACGACCCTGAGATTAAGAGTCTCATATTCTACCAACTGAGCTATGCAGATATATCCCTTTGCACCCTTTCACTGACTTCTATGTGATGCCTTGTGGGCTGTGTTCACATCATATGCATATAGCACCCACCTAGCCCCTCTAGGAATATTGGAAACTGTAATTTACCCTTCACAGAGCTACCATTCACAGTACCTTTAACAAAACTACAGTTCCCAGAATTCTTTGAGGGGGAATGTACAGTGTGTGCACTTTTGGAGGACCACTGAATAAAGAGAGCTAGGATGAAGCATTACTTTTTCCATTGGGATAGTCGCTCCGTTCCCTCAGTCATTTTGAATATATTTGGATAAAGAACCATCAGAAGGGAGAGTATCAGAGGCCTTAAAGTCACCCATCTGCAGTCAACTCTAAAGCACAATCTGAGCAGGTACACAGATCACCTGCTCACTGCCTTGTCAACTGTCTATTTTTACTTTCATTCTAGTAATTATCATTTCTTTTTTTAAAAAAGAAAGAAAGGTGCCAGTACTCACGATGAAATTGTTACATTAAGTGCCACACTTTTAACATTTGGGGCAGGGGGGAAGGATGCTGGTACAGCGTACTCTTGAGTAAAAGGTAAAGGGACCCCTGACCGTTAGGTCCAGTCGCAGACAACTCTGGGGTTGCGATGCTCGCTTTATTGGTTGAGGGAGCCAGCACGACTAAGCCGCATCTGGCTAACCAGAGCAGCGCACGGAAACACCGTTTACCTTCCCGCCGGAGTGGTACCTATTTATCTACTTGCACTTGACGTGCTTTTGAACTGCTAGTTTGGCAGGAGCAGGGACCGAGCAACGGGAGCTCACCCCGTTGCGGGTATTCGAACCGCCAACCTTCTGATCGGCAAGCCCTAGGCTCTGTGGATTAGACCACAGCGCCACCCATGGTACTCTTGAGTACCCCGGGGGGGGAAGCACTACTCATTGTTTCTAAATTTGCATCTTATTTACACATAATTTAGCACATGCAGACTTTATGCAAATCTCTCTTTTTGGGGGTGTCATGTCTAAGCGACCACCCTTGATGCACTCCTCTCTATTCCACCAAGGCCCCTTTTAGGCTCTGTAGAATCACCAGTGCACAACATCACGTCTGACCATTGGCCTAGAACAAAGTGGAGCACGCCAGGCATCTGGGATGACACTGAGGACAAAGCACATTTCAGGCACAATGAGGTGGGGAGAGTGGTTTTCCTCATGACACAGAGGGGCTGGGGAAGGGAAGGCCTCTAGAAATATTAATAATCCTTCTTTCAAAGTCTGTTTAACAAGTGATTTATGCCTAGTGAGATTACCTTCGTTGTAACTGGTTTTCAGCGCTATATCTTCCTTCCTTCCTTCGTGTCTGTGTGCAAATTAGGAGCACTAATAAATATTTCATGGCAAAATTCACAAATTAGGAGACTTGGATACAATAGATTGCTGTGCCTCTCCTCTCTCCCCCTGCCCCACTTTTTTTCTTTCGACCCAGAGGGCAGGCGTGTTGGATTGATGAGCCCTTCCACTGAACCAGACGGCTGCTCAGCTCATTTGGAAATGGGGGGAGGGGGGCAGTCCAGACAAAACAGTATCACTCCCTGCTTCTCCTTTGGTGTTTTATGCAGCTCTTTTGCTCTTCTTTGTTATGAAATGACATTACACCTTGTGTAATTCAGCCAGTAAGAATCGGTGGTCTGTTGTTCTGTATTATTCACATGGCACCTTTGATTCAATAGACACACAGGTAAGGGTGCTATAGCTGACCTGGAGTCTCCAGGTTTGCCTGCCTCCCTCCAGGCTGCAGGTGGACGGCTGCAAATTACTGCATAGACCCTGCTGGAGGGAGGTCTGCTCCTTCCCATCTCCCAATTAACCTCATTTGTTAGTCTTTGTGTTTTTGTGTGTGCAGATAGCATGCCCTCGGTGACTGTTGTTAATGCTTAATGTGCCATTCTGAACGACATCACCGGTGGCTGCTCCATGACATCACCAGGGGTCGCCCCAAGACGTTGCTTTGGTGGTGGTGGGACAACCACGTTGAGTCCCCCTCCCCACAATCAATTGGTCAATACATTTTATGAAATATAATCACTGGGGCCAGCCCTCCGTCTCAAGTCTGAGTCCCTGAAATCTCAGGCTCTGGAATGCACCTTTCCTGGCAATCTTACACACAGGTGGTGGGTGGGTGGGCATGGTGGGCCAAATGTGGCCCTCCAGGCCTACCTGGCCATCAAGACCACCCCAGGACATGTCCCTTGCTGCTCCTGTTCTGTGCCCCCTGCACCGTGATTTTACCTGGCAATGGGAAGCAAACAAAATCTGATTGCAAGCATCACTCCCCCCACTTATGGCTCCCAGTTACAGGCATTCAGAGGCATACTGCCTTCAACAGTGGAGGCAGAGCATAGCCATTGTGGCTAGTAGCAACTGATAGCTTTATTCTCCATGAATTTGTCTAATCCTGGTACACTGATGTGGCACATTTTCCTCTGAACAGCAAATAGCAGTTGCTAGGGGGGAGTGTTGTTTTAATAAGGAAAGTAGCATGAAAGGGAAAGGGTAGACATCCCACTCATGTTGCTTTGATTATAATCTAGTTTGTGGTTACTTTGGGGCCACTATTCTTTTTTCCCCCTGAAAGAGTCTAATCACAACCCTCCTACATCACATCTACTTTCACATGTCCATGTGCAATATTCAAATACATCTCATACTATTAATACATTCACTCACTTAAGGCGAAGGCTCTCCATCTCCTTTAATGAATTATTTTTTGTGTGTGAAGGTCATGGGGAAGAAGTGAATGACCAGCACTTCCAAGTACAGTGGTACCTCAGGTTAAGAACTTAATTCGTTCTGGAGGTCTGTTCTTAACCTGAAACTGTTCTTAACTTGAGGTACCACTTTAGCTAATGGGGCTTCCCACTGCCGCCACGGCGCAATTTCTGTTCTTATCCTGAAGCAAACCCGAGGTACTATTTCTGGATTAGCAGAGTCTGTAACCTGAAGCGTATGTAACTTGAAGCGTCTGTAATCCGAGGTACCACTGTATACTGCCTACTTTCTTCTCCACTGAACCCCTTCCCACTAATATTGTATACCCCCATCTTCCCTTGGGCCTCATTTGCTGATGACATTTAAAAATTTCTGAACAGTTGAGATGTCATTTAACATTTTGTAACACCTCAGCAACTCAGCCAGGTAGATAGTGCTGGGAAAGAACTCTGCTTGAAACCTTGGAAAGCTGATGCCCAGAGTAGACAACACTGGACTATATGGAGAGAAAAGTGTGACATGATGCAAGGCAGCGTCATGTGAGACTGCTCTTAAAAACTGTATTTTACCTCTCTACGTTTCCTCATATGCCAAGATTTGGTGGGTTGACAAAAATAAATATTTCCCTGCACACTGTATATGTGTCCTGCACTTTAATCCAGTCCTTCATCCACCTGTGGCTTGTGCTAACACAGTGGCAGCAGTGTCCCCGTTTGACAAGTGTAACAAGTCTGTCCTGTTAACACTCCCTGTCACTTGTAATCCCATTACAAAAGTGTCCCAGGTCAAGTTTCTTACATCGAGGAGTGTCACTTAAAGGTTAGGGCACAGAGCAGGGGGTAAGGACCTTTTGTGGCCTGGGGCCACACTCCCTTCTGAGCAAACTCTTTGAGGCCACATGACAGTGGCGGGTGGGACCAGATGCAAAAGTAGGTGGAACAACAAATGTAAATTTAAACTTTGCAGAGGTTAGTTTCCGCACCCATCCACCTACACATCCCTAGTCTCCAGCCAGGCGAGCAAAACTGAAACTGCTTAGATGGCTTTAAAAGAGGATTAGACAAATTCATGGAGCAAAGAGTTATCAATGGCTACTGGCCAATGTGGCTCTGCTCTCTTTCCATAGTTGGAGGCGGCAATGGCTCTGAATATTAGTTGCGGGAGACCACGTGAGGACAGAGTGCTCTTGTGTTCGGGTCCTGCTTGTGGGTTTGCCATCAGCATCTAGTTGGCCACTGTGGGAACAGGATGCTGGCCATTGATCTGGTCCAGCAAGCTCTTCTTATGAACAGCTGTGCCTGCCCAGCTACTCAAAAGGAGAGCATGGGATGTGGGTCAATTGTTGAATCAATGGTTGGACGTGGTGACGGTGACAGGTAAGGCTGTTTGTCACTGAGCTCTGTAGTCTGTTCTAGTTTTACTTTGTTTTTGTTTTTTAATATATATATATTTATTGGGGGTTTTTAACATATCATTTCCAACAATCATATAACATAACTTCATATCTTTTTTTTTTAAAAAAATGATTTTTATTAGTATTTTCCACACAACACGAAAGATATCAAAAGATAACAATACACAACACACAAAAATCAACATTCGAAAACTAATATTCTTGCAATATTTCAAATAATCCTCCTTACAAAACTTCTTGCAGTCCTACTAGCGTAATCTGTTCGTTACCATTACTTTTCAAATAGTTCATATATTTACTCCAGTCTTCTAAGAATCTCTGGTCCCGCAGATTTCGAACTCTTCCTGTTAATTTGTCTAATTCTGCATAGTCCATCAATTTCATCCACCATTCTTCTTTCGTCGGTAATTCTTCTTGCTTCCATTTTTGTGCCAAACTTTGTTTTTATTTTGAATAGTTTTAAAGTTTTAAAGACAGTTGGCTCAGTAGTTAATTGCTACATACAGTCAAAGAGCATATCTGCCTCTATCACGGTGCTGTGCCATGCCTTATAAACTTGAAACTTGTGTATCTTTGCTGGGATGCTGTGCTTATTTCTTAAAGGAAACCTTTAAACCTACCAGTTGTCGGAATATTCTAGAAGAAACTTGAAAATGGTCTTGAATATGTTGTTAGGCAATGGAATATATGTGTGTGTGACCAGTGTAAAGTTTTGTAAATAATAAAGACTCTGAGAAACAGAACCAAATGGTGTTTATTCCTGCAATGGGAATTTCACTAAGAGATAGCTGGAATGCTGCTGCTGCTATAAAGAAGTAAAAGATGCAGGAAACTTTTCTGTAAAAGGAACTCTGCTGCAGAAAGAAATGAAAACCCAAGAGTAGATACAGCGGTACCTCTGGATGCGAACGGGATCTGTTCCGGAGCCCCGTTCGCATCCTGAAGCAAACGCAACTCGTGTCTGTGTGTGCGCGGGTCACAATTCGCCGCTACCGCACATGCACGTGACGTCATTTTGAGTGTCTGCACATATGCGAGCAGCAAAACCCAGAAGTAACATGTTCCGTTACTTCCAGGTCGCCACGGAGCGTAACCTGAGAATGCTCAACCTGAAATGACTTCAACCCAAGGTATGACTGTACTTACGCACCAACAGTTATGAGTTAGAAGGGGAGAGCTATGACAAGGATTCTCTCTAAGACCACCCCCCCCAACCAGGCCCAGCTTTGCACCCTAATTCAGTGTTTTTGCCTGTCTGGTATATCTGTTTGAACTCTGATGCTTCTAGCTTACCTGTATGGAGAAGAGAGAGGGGTGTGAGAGCACGTGTGGAAGCAAGCTTACTGTACAAGGGTAACTTTGGCAACAACTGCTGGGCAGATCTGAAACAGGGTCCACCAGTTGCTGACCTCTCCTTTTGGGCATTAACTGTTTTCTCTCAGCCAAATTCTTTTTTCTCTGTAAAATGCAGGCGAAATCCTCAGAAGGCATTTGGCTGGGGCACAGGAAATAAATTTGGGCCACACTTTCAGAAATAATGGCTAGCAACCAGTGAAGTAACAAACTCTAGCTCTTCTTTCTCTAGGGAAGAGAAGGCAGAGCCTGTGTGGTATAGTGATTAGAGTGTTGAACTGTGATCTGGGAGACCTGGGTTCAAATCCCACACCTGACCATGAAGCTCGCTGGATCACCTTGGACCAGTAACTGCATCTCATCCTAACCTACCTCACAAGGTGGTTGTGAGGATGGAATGGGGAGGGGGAGAAATGTGTACACCATATTGAGCTCCTTGGAGGAAGTAAGGCAATACTACTATTACTACAACTACTACTACTACTACTGTACTAATAATACATCTGGAATGTTGTCTTCATCTGCAGACAGTTTGCTGCTTCGCTCAAAACCTCTGCCACAGTATCCTTGTGAGAAGCTGGTGACAAGGGATCCCTGTAGCTTGTGAGCTGTGGTGCTGGAGTGTGGCGTAATCAACACTCATTGCTCCAGTTGAGAAATATTGACGGCTTTCCCTCCACCTCTTATGACGTCACACTGGGAAGCTGTTGTCGGAGCTGTTGCCATGGGGACACTAGCAATGCTACTGTGCTTGCTGGCATCTGTCATGCTCCTCTCGGTCTTTTGTGTGACTCAGGGAATGCATGCTGCTAGACAGCCCCCCACCCTCCCTTGCCCCGTAACACACATCACTGGGCAGCTTGGCAGAAGGACATCAGTGATTCAGAAGGTCACTTGGATTGTGCAGTTCCAAAGCTTGCACAGGAGAGGCCCAGGGAAAGAATGTAATACATGGGGTGGGGTGGGCATTGGGAAGAACATAGATGAACCTTGCTGGATCAAACCAAAGTGCCAGCATCCTGTTCTCACAGTAACAACCAGGTGTGCCAATGGGAAGCCTGCAAGCAAGAACTGAGTGCAACAGTGCTCTCCCCACTTAGGAACAAAGGAAGGTGCCTTCCACCAGGTCAGACCTTGATCAATGTAGCTCAGTATTGTCTATACTGACTGGTGGCGGCAGCAGCAAGTCTCCAGGGCTTCAGGCAGGGGACATGCAATAGCCCATCTAGTCCAGCATCCTGTACGTTTATTTTGTGTGTCCTGATTCTTCCAATGTTCAGCTTCATTGGATAATGATAAAGAACCACCAGAAGAGAGAACACCAGGGACCCTTAAGCTGCCCATCAGCAGCTAGTATCCGACAGCAGACTAAGAAGACACACACTTACCTTGGACCTTCCCCACTATGTGTATGTCTGTTTACACTGAAGTATTTATAAATCTGCATCTAAATGCGAACGTCAGAACCTGCACTTTATGTCAAACACTTCCTTTGGTGACATTTAAGCTGCCAGCTGAGATGCACTCATTCTACGATTGCCGTTAAGCCGACTCATGATTCTCAGAGCCCAGGTGCTCATGTACAGCAGTGTTAAATGTGCCTCCACTGTTACTACATATTGCATTCTGCAGCATGGGAGTTGAGCCACACAGGTTGCAACATGATGTACAGGATGCACCCCTGACCAGTGGCCTTGAACAAAGCAGAGTACACCAGACATTGAGGATGACATTCAGGACAAAACACATTTCATACTGTCTTGTGTGCAATGATGTGGCAAGTTCTTAGCACCCTGGGATAGCAGACAGCAAGCTCAGGTCACCTGTGTGCAGTCTTTCCCACCATGTATATTTCTTATTTAGAGTTATTACTTCTAAATTTGCATCTCCACATATAAATTAGCATATGCAAATTGGTGTCTTCTTTTGGGGTGTTGCATTTTCTCTTTTATTTATTTTTTTTGGCCATGCATAAGTGGCCATTGAGCTACTATTTGGCTAGGGCGGGGGAGATTCAGTGCGCAGTAAGTATGGTCTCATGAAATGTGAGCCACAAATTTCACACATCTGTAGATTTAGGATCCCTCCAGACTGATGTTTTGTTTGCTTCCTTTTTAAACAGGTGTATTCCGCAGCATGCCAAGGGTGTTGCATTAATGGTGGAATTATACTGAACTGTCTGCACATCATTCTGTTTTATTAGCTGTCCTGTAATGTATTCCCAATGTTACTGCATTACTGTTGTCTGGAGGGGCACCTTTATGCTACAGCACAAAAAAACACCCCTGTCCCAACACATTTATGATATATAAACCGTTACATGATTTCAGCAGGAGGTTACAGTGTGTACAGCGACCGGAAATGAAGCTGTATGTCAGCCCCAAAACGTTTGCAGGCACAAGCAGTATTGAAAGCTGCCCAATATCATCTTAAGTACATATTGTCATGAATGCACCATAAAAAGCACACCTCAAGGGGCCCTTAAAAAAAAAAAAAATCCCCCCCATATTTGTTTGCTTTGAATAGAGAGGTGGAATAGAGAGGTGGAATCTATACATCTTTATTCTAATTGCAGCTTAAATTGTGCAATGGCTCCACCCCTCTTTCCTCTCAAGGGATTGTTCACCATACCTAGGGTAAACCCACTGAAATTAATGGACACGACTAACCACAAGACCTGTTGAATTCAAAGGGATTTGCTTCCAGGTAAATAAGGTTGGGACTGAAGCCTAACTCAGTGGATCTTGTCCAGTGCTTTTTTTCTGGGGGGACGCAGGGGGTATGCATATCCCTAAACATTTTGTGAATCTTAAGTTTGGCCTCATTGAGGGGCACTATTTCAATATGAATAGGAAAATGAGAGTACCCCTAAACATTTTTTTTATTAGAAAAAAAGCACTGGTCTTTCTTGTCTGAGTAGAACTTAGTTGGGTACACTTCACGTTTTCCTATTTTCTCTTTGCCAAATTTAAATAAAATACTCTGTGTGGGTGGAACCATGGCATATATATGATATACACAGGAAATTTTTAATTCCCTTGTTACCTTGGTAACATATTTTTAACATATGGATGTGTGTGCATGTATACACTCCGCTCCCCCACAATATAATGGTTGTGCCCGGTTCATTTAGCAATCTGCCCTTCAGGAAGAAAGATCAGATTAACATCCCAAGGAATACGACAGTCATTATAACGCAATTATCAGACGGAACCAGGAATGGCTCTGGCGATATAACACAGTTATCCATAATTGCTTCATTCATAGAGACTGCCTCCTTCCATATGCCCTATTATGATACCTGAGAATGCCTTCATTCTGATACAATTTATGCATTGGACTCTTTCTTTAAAACAAAAACCAGTGGCTATTTTCATTTTAAAAATACATACAATTAAAAATGCATACAACTGCAATTGCAATAATTATTTTTACCTGAAAGGAGGGGTTGCAGTTGAAAGAAATTTAACTGCGCAATCCTATACCTGTCTCCTCAGAAGTAAGCCCACTGAAATTCAGTAGAGACTGCCCTGCTCCTACATAAGGGGGTTTAGGTCTGCAGCCTGAAATATATTTAGGATTGCCTTACATATTTCTTTGCATGTTTTAATTTCATTTCAGTATAACATGAAAGAGTCCCAATTATCCGTAAGCTTGCAATATCTATTGTCCTAACAGTCTTAGAAAGGGAGTAATTTTCATCATTCTCAAAGTATGTCAGGAATTTTGAAGCCAGTCACCCATTGCAGGATTTCTTCTAATGAATATCCAAGCCATGATAAGCATGCTGTTTATCAAACACTGACCCTACTTTTAAATATATTCTTCCCAGCTAAAAAACTTCACGTCCTAAGGGGACCATTTCTGTTGTTCTCTCTTGAAATTTATAACAAAAACCTTGATGAAACATATTACATATTTGCATATGTGTCTAAGCCAAAGGTGGGGAACCTGTGGAGGGTCGGTTCCTATTGCTTAGTCCAAGCATTGGGGTTCATCTTCAAAGGACTGTCTGCTCCTGCAGGGTGCCTGCCTACTCTTTGAGAACGGGTTCAAAGGCTTTGCCCTGGACGCCAGCATATTTGTGATATGAACTAGGGCCTTTACGCTGGTGGCATCCTAGGCATGGGTGTAGCTAGGATTCTTGTGGAGCCCCCCCCCAGGCTTTTATGGGGGGGGGAGCAGAACATCAGATTTGTATTGATTTTGATTGATTGTGGGGGCAGCTGCTCTCCCCCCCCCCGCGTTACACCCATCCATGATCCTGGGCGCATCGTTTGCGGCATTCAACGGAGGGCCTCCTCTCAATGCTGCAAAGCTACCCAAGGCTGTTCGCGTGCACGCGTGTGCCCAGGCTCTCAAGCTGAGGTATGCAACACCAGCAGCCTGCATGGTCGTCCTGACTTCGCTTGAGCAGAAGCTTCTGTGCTTTCTGCTCAGTCTTTACCATACAGGCTTCCGACACCCTTGACCTCAGTGACAGATCTGGGTAGCTGCATGCTACAGTCCACTATCCTCAGCAGCAGCAGCCTACCTTGCAGATCACAACCCAACCCAGGAGGCGGGTGACCCTGATATATTAGCTTTCTCCTCTGACTCCAGGTAAGCTAACCCTTAGTAGCAGAGCACCTCCACCCTCTCTCTGCCAGCTAATCAACCCTTAGCTGTAGAGATACCCCCTCCCCCCGAGCGCGTACACTCATCTCTCTCCCCCCCCCCGTTTCCGGGCGCGCGCGCGCGCGCGCATTAAAGATACTGAAGCGCAGCTCGCGGACAGAACGTAGCGGGAGTCGGGGGGGGGGGCGGCGGCGGGGGAGAGAAAGGAGCTCCGCGGCACGCGCACGCGCATTTCCTCCCTCCCTCTTTCTCTCTCTCTCTCTCACACACACACACATACACACACACACTCAACCCTCTACACCTACTTCACCTGGCGAGCGGGCGCATGCGCGCCCTCATTCTTCTCCTCCGTTTATCGAGGCGCGCGAGCCTCGCGGGTGCGCGTCCTCTCCCCCCCCCTCTTCCTCCGGTCTCGTTCCCCCCCCTCCAGTCTCCCCCGCCCCCTCAGCCGAGCCAGGCTGAGCTGAGGCGACAGAGGCAGCCCGCCCCCGCCTGCCCACCAGACCAGCCCTGCCTTGCCTTGCCCTGCCCAGCCCATCGGGGGTAGGTGGGTGCGGGGGTTACCCCTTGCCGTTGCTGCCGCGAGGCCTTGGGCCCTGGGCGCGGCCGACGTGGTAGTGGTGGGGGCTCCGACGACGCGGGAGTGGTGAGGCGGCGGCGGTTGGGGAGCTCGGCCCGGCGTTGGCATGAGGTAGCTGCGGCTCGGAAGGAGAAAAAAAGGTGAGGGGGCGCACGGCAGATGATGGCGGGGGGCGGGCAGCCGCGGGGGGGGGGGCGGCATGATTTGGGTCTGTCAGAACTGAGGGACGAAGAGGGAGCGCAGTGGCGGCGGCGGCGGCTTGTATGAGGGACACACGGCGTGTGGGCGGGGGGAGCGGAGAGCTGACATCTTGGACGGAAGGGCTCTGCGGGGAGGGGGGCCTGGCTGTTTTTGAGCCGGGTGTGTTATTGTGTTCTAACCTGTGTTATCATCGCGAGTGAGCGACTGAGGATGAGCAGGGATTGGGGCGTGTTCGGTGTGTGGGGTGGGCGGGCCAGGATCTTTTTATGTTTTTTTTGGGCAGGGTGGGGGGTTGGGCGGGAGGAGGAGGGGAGAAATCTGGTTACGTTGCTTGTGGTTATGAAGAGTTGTGGGGTATCTGGGAGCGGGCGGCAGACGAGCTTGTGGGTAGAGGTAAAGCCTGGGCCTGGGGGGTTTGCCCGGTTGTTGTGCGCATGGGAGAGAGCCATGGATCTTATTGCCGTGTTGTGACGGGTGGGAATTTTTGGGGGGGGGAGGAGCTGGGGTGGGGTGGGGGTCTGGGTATTTGTGCGTGGAAGTAACAGGCCATGGGGAAATCGTAGAAAAGTACAGGATGGGGGATCAGGATTGGGTTTCTGTGTGGGTGTTTTATCAATAATAACAAATCTACAGTATGATAAGAGTAGCAGGCGTTGAGGGGCAGTGGCTTGGACAGCAGGAGGCTGTTTGAGGGACGGGGTGGGCCAAAGGGGGGGGTGTGGTAGACTAATAGGAGCTACAAGGGGAGAGGCAGTAGATTGAGATGTAAGTGTGGGAAGTTTGGGCAAGGACTGGGTGTGTTGAGGGGCAGAAACTGGAAGATCAGGAGAGATGGGCTGCGAAGAGGATGAGGAAAAGGTTGAGGCCAGTATTGCAGTACATGGTGGAAGGGAGTCATCTTAATATAGGAAAGCATAGGATATTAAACAGTAGTGTTGCTGTCTTAAGCACCATTAATGTCATATTGTGCTGTGTTTATTGTCCATGCTATTTATTACAAAAATGAATTGTCTGATGGGTGTCAGGTTCATGGATATGTGTAAGGCAGTGTCTGCTGTGAAAAGAGACTGGGCTGTTAAGGATCTTTGTGTGTGTTTTTGTGCGGGGAGGTGAAAGTGACATTATGG